ACCTTTGATATTACTATCTCAAGTTTCTTTGAATAGTTACGGATTTACACTGGTGGGGGCAATGAAAACAATTATTACATCTCTGTACCAACAGATACAAAAAACACTAATGCTTGCTGGACCTAGAGAGCCTTCCTTTTTGGTATAGAACACTAAGAACTGTTTTAATATTTACACTTCCGCAGATGTCATTCTAAATTATTATTTTGAAATAAAAGAAAAAACAGAGTTATTAGATTGGCACATTTGCATAATAAATCCACCCAAGCAAGACTGTTTGAATGGTTTAAAGCTGACACACACCCAAAGCACCATTCACCCTCTGAGATCCTGCCACCTTTCCAAAATATTGCTACCAACAGAATGAACATCTGCACTCAGAGATGACTGCCCAGGCCACCTCTCTCACAGGTGTAGTGAATGGGTACACAACGCCATTTTTGAAAGATTTTATTGGAAGCCTGATACCTCATGTGTAACACACGCAAAACAAAAACATTAGTAAGATGCATGTTTCCAACATGTGTTCAGAAGAACACTATTTGTTAAATATCCATTTTTTTTCTGTGAGCCTTAAGTACTTGCTTGCGTCACATCATAAGTGTACCTGTATCCAGTCCCTTCTCTGGCTCTCTCTCTACGACAGACCTCAGACCTACACTGTACATAGCTTATCTCCAGTCCTGCCTCCAGCCCCATCTCCTGCTGCTCCTGTCTGGCCTACCTGGATGGACCCGATTAATTTATCTCATCTGGGCTGTAAATGGGTGCTGCTGCTATCTCCATCCCTGCTCTGCCCAGCCTGCTCAGACACAGTGGGACTGCACCCTGGTCTGTGCGGGCACTGCCTGTGCTATGGCCACCCTTGACTTCCCCTCTGTCATGGAGCTGCTCTGCTCCTGCTGCTCCCTGACATCCATCAAGGCATCTCTTTCAGGAATAAGTCTTGCAAAACTACTTTTAGCCTTCCAAGAAGTAGATGTCCAAGAGTCTCAGAAATTATTATTAGTAACTTACTACACAAGGCACACTGTTGATGAGAGAGAGAAAGAGAGTAGAAAGGCAAGAGACAGACACACAAAAAGCCACCCATAAATCTTAAAATTGCTACAATCCTTGGCTTCAGATCTCTAGAGTACCTCAAATCTGAGCTTACCTCTGCCCTTTACTTTCTCCAAAGCTACAGTCATTTAAAGCCTCTGCTAAGCTTCCAATGTGTCCCTATTTCGTGAAAATAATTTACATGTGGGCAAAACTGGGAGAAACCTATAGTCCTGACTGATTTGAGTAAAACATTCAGTACAACTTGCCAAATATGCAAGATGCAAAAGTAGTGATAAGAAGAATGAGACACTTCAAGTCTCAGATTCCTTAACTTCCGAGTATAAGCCGGTCTTAAGAGTTCAAAAAAGTAGATACATCAAAATAATCTTAATTGGCATACATGCCTACAAAATGATGCTGCATATGTCAGTATTTTAGTCAAACTTACTCTGCATTTCAAGTAATTCTTTCAGCGCCTGTATCCACTGATTACACAAGTGCTCATCAACACACCAGAACGTCACATCACTGCACCGCCAGCGGTGATTTCGGGCTTTTTTCACGTAATACACTATTTAAATAAAAAGAAACAAACAGGCACAATGAGACAGTTCTGTGAAATGGCAATTGCATTTCAGAGAGATCTCTGAAATACCTGCCTTTTGAAAAAAGTGTTAATTAACCCCCACTACACATTTCCACAAATGACAGAAGCAGAGTGTGAACAGGACATTTGTAAAAAATCAAAGTGAAAACATAGGTGAAAATACTTGCTCTAGGTTGTTACCTTATAGCAGATACCCAAACATAAACTTCTTTTTAAACCAAATACAATCAATTTTCCATAAACCCAGAGGTGAGACTGCCCAGCCTGTAGTTCCCCAGGTCTTCCTTTTTTCCCGTTTTAAAATCAGGGGTTATGTTTCCACTCTTC